ATACTCTATACCACACCAAGTGTTAGGTGTTCTGGTTCACATAGTTTAGAGATATAATCTTAAAAATCTTGGAACTTGATCAAATGTATTTCTTTCAACTTTCTACGTGACTGGTGGACTAATAATATTATTCGACACATGGCTGCGGTACAGAAGCAATGCGTGGCAGTCAGGAGGCATGCTCTCATAATAATTAGTTCCTATCCTTTAAAAGAAAGGTAAAACACTATCCCTCTTCCTTTAAAAAATATGTCTCTACATCAATATCTCTATATCAATATCTATTCCAATCATGCTTAAGGGAAACCTGAAGTGGTGTGGCATCAAATCTAAACTGCTGAAATAATCAGCACAGGAAGCTCATTGAAGAGCTCTGATCTGAGACATGATTTTCCCACTTCTGAAAAGGATCACGTCAATGTCTCATTGCTGCCCATGAACAACATCATAAAGCAGCATCTGGGCCATACCACAACATACAAGTTCCAATCTTTTTTTGACTCTGCACATCCACACTGAATCTACATAGCCATTTCCATGTCCATCATTGCTGAGTTTGTGCATCCACCCTCTAACTTGAATGACAACTATCATCAGCATTCCAAACATGAACGTTTTTTTTTTAATTATGGTATAAGGAATAACTCCTAACTTGATTTCATACTCCATCATGGGATTTTTACATCCACCCAAGCAGGCAGATGAGAGATAGCAAGAACTGCAGATGCCAGAATCAGAGATAAAACAGTGTGGAGCTGGAGGAACACAGCAGGCCAGGCATCATCAGAGGAGCAGGAAAGTTGACGCTTCAGGTCGGGACCCTTCTTCAGAACCTCTGTTTTAACATCTCATTTAAAAGACAGCACCTCCAAAGCAGAATTCTATTTCAACACTGTACTGAAATGTCAGCCTTGATTTTTGAGCTCAAGCCTTGGAATTGGATTTGAATACAGAACCTGGTGACTCAGTGGCAGGATTACTATAATCTGAGCCATAACTAACTCAGTACATCCTCCTGTTCACCACTGCAATGATTTTACTCAATTTCAAAGCATATTTCCTTGGATAACCATTTATTCATTATTTTTCAAGAAACGATCATCTGGTATTTATTGAGTGGGATGATGTTACTCTGCACTCTAGTATTAAGCTTCAATTTTGGATTTATATCTGTTTCTCACTCTCTTGATAATTTGAATGGCTGTGTGAATTTTTCTCTCTTGGAAATGTAGCATTTCATGGTTTTTCACGGTTCCTGTGCCTATGATGACTCAACTTCAGCTTCCAGAATAAAATTTTTTTTTACAACTTCTTATTCATCCTTCTGTTCTGTCTCTTATATTACATTTATTACCTTCTTTTTAGTCTGTGTATCTTTTATCCCCAAGGAATTGGGCATTCCACAAGTTTTTAAGTCTGACCCACATGCAGAGCATTTGCTGACTGTGGTCAGCCATAGCTCTAGAACACGCTTCCTTCGGTCTGGTATGTATGCTTTTGTTGCTGCTAAATTGCACTAGCCCTGATACCTTTCTCTTGACTTAATTGAAAGCTAGCTGTCTGGTTAGTCAGCATCTTCACCTGCATATTCATAACTTCATGTGCTCTGGCAGCATCTACAGCCTAAAAAATTGTGAGCTTGCCCTTTCCAATTAAATACTTTTGAACATCAGGATGTGAAGAATCCCAAATGAGTTACCCTGGCAGCCTTTCATTTATATTCTTAAAATTTATATTTATGGCTGCATTTCTCAATGTTGCATAAAAAGAATTGCCAGGAGACTCACCCAATTTCTACTTCAGGCCTTGAAATTCATGTCAGCAAGACATGTGGGCTGAATTTAAAAGAAAATTATAACATGGTATCTGCTGCTATTTTCACTCAGCTATCAAAAATTTGACCCTTTCTCTCCTGCCCATAAAAGATAATGTAACCAATCTGTTAGTCTTTGCTGGTGCCTTTTGAAAAATTTTGTTTAAACTTCTTGAAAGCCTTTACATCATCAGGTCCCCAATCCACTTTGGGCTCATGCTGTGTGTTTATTGCTGGGCAGCAGTCATTTTGTGTATCAGTTGACTGATAGACTGATACTCGCATTCACGGATTCCTTTTCGCCGATATCATGGCAAAGTGCATCATGAGCCCAGGGTTTAAAGCACTAGCTATTTAGAACTGACTCACACGCCACGAGGCTATTCTCCAAAAACAAAAAGCCTTGAAATTCTGGAAGATAGAAAACAGGCACAAATCAGCCGAGAGGAAAATGTTTAGGTAGAACATAACTCCAACTGTGATTTCATACCATGCAGGAACTCTATGATTTCCAATATGAGAGAAGGGAGGGGCAGCAGTCATATGAAAGTGTTCTATTTGCCTCAAGCTAACCAGGATTTCCTCTACTTTAGTCCACATTTGGCTCAGCAGTATTTGGTCAATCAAGAATTCCATGCAGGGTCTAGTGAAGTGTATGAGGCATATACCATAAGTTAAAGATAATAACAGATCTTGGATTATCAATTCAGAACTGAGAAACCAGTGAAGCTAATACACATCTACATTAATACATTTATCAATGGGAATTTGATAAAGCCAAACAGTTCATCTCAGCACAATATGGCATTTGCGAGCACTGTGTTGGCACTAGAAACGCAGATGCTGAGACAGCTACAATCACATGGGGGATACCGTTTGGAATATTTTGATAATTACAAAAGTGACAGCTGAGTTTTTACTTCCTGATAATGAAAATGAATCTTAAGCATCTCAAGAGACAATAATTAGAATTTCTTGACTGTATTCATGGAAGGTAGGATACAGATACTGCTGTTTCACCTACAGAAAGACCATTTTTAAGAAGTCATTAGAGACACCAGAGTTTGATTTTTATTCAACCCACTTCCTAATGTCTCACTCTTCCAATAGCCTTGGCACATTAGCTGAAGTTCCGACCTACTGTTGAAGCTGATGTCCGAAACATTATCAACTTGTGTTGCCAAACATGCATATACAGCTCTAAGAATGTAAGCACGTCAAGGCCATAGCTCTGAAAATGAAATGTCTCCTGACATGTAGAGAACATCCTTAAGAAGTTATTCGTGTAATGCTCTTCATTGACTTTCCATGATCATTTGCTTAATCGCCTTAGGTAACATGTTCCACCAAATTTCTCCGCTTAATCATAATTACTAGATTTTGCCCTTGTGGACTCCTCAACACAATAAACCTGTCTAGATCAAATTTGTCAATTCTCTTTATAATCTTCAAAATTTCATCGTTTCTGAAGTAACATCCAATTTATCCTCTTAATCATCATTTAAATCCCTGATCAAAGATACCTGTGGCAGAACATCATTAGGAGACTTTAAATATACAGAGTTCGGTCTGGTATGCTGGAATTTTTATCAGACAAATGACACTAAATACCTGCCATTAGCTCTGAATTCAATTACAAAGGCAACAGTTGGATTGGTTATTGGTGGCAAAGAAATAATGTTTGACGTCCATCTTACTGAAAGTTTACCAGAGCTTTCGTAGACTTCTAAGGAAAGATTACCAATAATTCAGTGTGTTTATCATCACCATGATGACAATCACAGAATCATAGATTACTTACTGCGCAGGAGGTCATTAGACCCATTATGACTGCTCCGGTTCTCTGAATATTCATTGTGACTCAGTGTAATTCTCCTGCCTTTTCACCATGGCCTTGAATGTTATTCCTATTTATATCATCGTCTAAAGCCCTTTGAATGCTTCAATTGAATGCGTCTCCATTACACATCCAGGTAATGGATTCCAGACCCCAACTACTTCTGCGAAAAAGTGTTCTCCTACATCACATTTGCTTATTTTGCGAACTACCTTATTTCAGTGCCCTCTCATTCTTGATCCTTTTGACAGGGACCAGTTTCTCACCACCTGTTCTGTCCAGCCCACTCATGATTTTAAAACTTCTACCAAATCTGCTTTTAGATTGGACGGGAGGAAGCTATCTTCATAAATGAAGTTCCTCATCCTGGAACCACGTGTGTCGATCTCTTCTGCACTCTATCCGTTCACATCCTTGCTAACGTGTAGCGCCCAGAACTTTACAGAATATTTCAGCTGTGATCTGACATGTGTCTTAGTAGGGATAAAGATTGTCAGAAGCTTGGACAAAGTTCAGACAATGCAATTCCTTGGAGCAGGAAACAGGAGTGGAACCTACAGTGATATGTATAGGGGATTCAATAATCAGTGGCTCAGAGACTACCCTTTGCAGGCAGGTTCATGAATACTGCAAGGTTTTTTTTTTGACTACCTGAACCCAAAGTGAAGAACACATCAAACTGGCTTGAAAGAATTATGGAGAGGAATGGGAGGATCTCGTCATTACGTCCCTGTTGAGACCAACAGAGCAAATTTTGAGGGTTTTTTTTGAGGATGGTTTTGTTCATTGCCTGAATCGATGGTGGAAACAAATTTTTTGCCAACAATGGAAAGTGAAGTGGATAAATATTTTAAGGAATGTATCATTCTGGCATTCTATGTGCAGTAAATCCGGTTCTGCAGATGAAGCAAATGTTTCAGGTAGAAACCAGAATACTAAGCAAGGAATACATAAGGAAACACCTCCTGCTTGGTGAAGCTCAAACCAAAGAATACGGAGAGTGTTTTTTAAATATAGTACAGACAGCTATTATGCTTTTTGATTATAAATTCATTTACTATCATTACCTGTAGGATTTTTTGGGCATTTAAATCGGATAGAATTCAGGAGATGTTTTTGGTTTGGTTATTAATTTTCTTGAAATTATACTTTAAGAAAAGACAGGAAAAAACATGTTTAGATAACCATTACAGTTCTCCTCCGCTTCAATTATGAGTGAATAAAACATGCAACAGCTATGATATTTCGTTTTCTAAAACCAGACAACTTACTATGTAATTTGGTATTGAAAAAAATCAAGTCACAGTTTAAACTGACAAACATTTTTATTACAATAAGTACTGTACTCACCATTCAGAATATCTTTCAGATATTTAAACCAAACATTGCAGTAATCTTCACTTAAATTGCTTAGGTGAATCGCACGACTTTTGAGCTTATTTTGTCCTTTTTTAATACACTCAAAGATGGCGATTCCTAACAAGGTTCCTCCCGTTTGTTGCCTTGCAGATCGTCGACGTTTCATCTTTACACCAAATACTTCTTTCAGCTCCACAAATTCCGTCTTATTTCGGGAAACCACCTTATCGTCATCTGTATCAAAAGTACAGCATCTCTTTTAGGAGCACAATTTGCTATTTATGGATTAATAAGTCATTATTTATATTATTTCATTTGAAATAGCTTCAGTCATGAAGATAATAGTCTTCCTGCTGATTTCTCAATTTTGTTTTTCTTGTGTCTCTTTGTCTTCGACCCTTTGGATTTCACTTTCTCATTGCTTCTCCCACTTTCACATATTATCAGAGTCCTTTTACTTTTGCTAACCATCTTTTAGGAAATTATTATTCTCTTTGATATGTTTACTAAAGTTCATATTCTCTGTATGCATCTCACCCAGGTTGTTTCACTGATATTTCAACTAATAACTTTTGATTATAACATTTACAGTGATCACCAAGGTTTGGAAAAGGCTGAAACAATATCCACACATGAAGACAGATGGAAGAGAAGAAGCAGGGGATTCAGATTGGGATAGACTAGGAGGAGACTGGATACATAACAGAAACAGAGTCATACAGCACGGAAACAGACCTTTTGGTCCAACCAGTCCATACCGACCATCATCCCAAACTAAACTAGTCCCACCTGCCCACACTATAAGGTCACCCCTCAACCTCCCACCCTCCAGCGAAAGAAATCCCAGCCTATCCAGCCTCTTCTTATAACTTATACAACATCCTGGTAAATCTTTTCTGAATCTTCTCAAGCTTATTAATATCCTTCCTATAACAGGGTGGCCAGAACAAGACACAATATTCTAGAAGAGGCCTCCCCAACCTCCTGTACAACTTCAACATGGCATCCCAACTCCCACACTCAAAAGTCTGAGCAATGAAGGCAAGCATGCTAAACACCTTCTTAACCACCCTGTCTACATGTGACGCAAACTTCAAAAAATTATTTACATGAACCCCTAGGTGTCTCTGTTCTATAACATTACCCCAGGTCCTACATTTAATTGAATAAGTCCTGTCCTTATTTTGTTTTACTAAAATGCAATATCTCACATTTATATAAATTATACTCCATCTGCCACTCTTTAGCCCACTGAACCAACGGATTAAGATCTCTTGACATCTCTCCAAGAGAACGTTCTTCACTATCCAGCATACCACCAATTTTGGTGTCATCTGCAAACTTACTAAACATGCCTTCTGTATTCTCATCCAAATCATTTATGTAAATGACAAACAAAAGTGGACCCAGCACCAATCCCTGTGGAACACTGCTGATAACAGGCCTCCAGTCTGAAAATCAACCCTCCACCACAACACCTAGACATTTTAATATTATTTGTATGAAAACTGTATATTCATTTTATATAAGCATGTTTAATTTTTAAACTTCATTGCATACAGGTATCATAAATAGTATGGAGTTAGTACACCAACTGCATATCATGACAGCATGTCAATTAAAATAAATCAAAAATATATCAGTGCAAAAAGTAGCTGTCCAACCCGCTGTTCTTGTCAATGGTAGCTCCACAATGGAACTAACCAATCGTATTTGCTGCTCTTTTCGTCATATTATGCTAAATATAGCACAGAATGTTATAAATTTGTATGTTAATGGTTTCACAAGTGTATTAAAAACCATACAGTGAAATTTCATTGATTTTGCTTTAATTTCATTATTAATGCCTCCCAGGAGAAAAGGATTTCATTAAAAACCAATTCTTGATCTCAGGATATCCCAAAGCACTTACTTGTCAGATAAAGGCAAAAAAGACATCTGGTTACAAATATTTAAATTCATATCATAAACAGGACATTATTTAGTAGAGAGAAGTGAATCTCATCTGCTAGCTGAAGACCTGACGAAAGTCCTGCATGACCATGTTGCTTTCATGATGGCCCATCATATCAAGTGCCACAGAGGCACCTAACTAGTCATGGTCTCTGAAATGCAAGTCCCACGGGCTGGCCATCACAGACTAGAGGCTCTTCATTACTTAGCAATGCCACGATACTGTGACTGATTCCTGTAGAGGTTGAAGATCGCAAACGGACACAAGTATAGGTGAGTAATGGTGGGAGGAGGTGTTGGAGCAAAAGGGGTTGGCAACAAGGAGAGTGGGTGGCTCTCAACAACATTCTCCTACCCTGCCATCCTGATGGTATGTCCCTCAAACAGACTCTTCCAATTTTGGTACTTGTCCCTAGATGTCACAGAGGAGACTTTGTAAGATTGACTGATCAGAATTGAGTCTTTTGATTGCCATACTAGACCAATGCCAGGTGGTTCATTTGATTTATTCAACTTTTCTGCAGTAGCTTTATACTAATGCTAATTCATTTCAATGATTAAATTGTTAAATGTAGGTCTGACCAGGCAAGAAAGATAGATTTGCTCTCCTGTAGAAAAATCATTTTTAGCAGTTAACAAACATGCAAATTTCAAAAAACATTCCATACTCAGAAAAAGTCATCTGCTCAGTTTTATTTCAGTGATATGGCAATGCATCTGCTTTGTTTCAGATTTTGTTCTTGCATGAATCAATAGAAGTTTATTACACACAGCAGTTTTTTTGGTCACTATTAATGAGGTTAGCATTTTATTCCAGATTTATTAATTAATTGCATTTAAATTTACCAGCGGTTTGCTGAGGTTTGAACCTGTATGTCCAGACCCTTCGTGCAGGCTCCTGGAATTACCAGTAGCATTGATACAATTCCATCAGTTTCTACCCACTTGCCAGAGGGGAAAAAAGCCTTAAAGAGGCAAGAGATAATATAGAATACACAACAGTGCAGAACAAGGATAGACCCTTTGGCCACCATATTTGTGCTGATTACAATGCAATTCTAAATGAATCCCATCTGGCAGCACATCATCCACATTCTTTTATTCCCTGCCTGTTCACACGTCTGTATAAATGCCTGTTAAAAGTGCTAACGTATCTACTTCTACCACTTTCCCTGACAACGCATTCCAGACACCTACCACTTTGTAAAAAACTTTCCTTGCAATCTCCTTTAAACTTTCCACTCTTAAACCTATAATAAGTGAAAAAGCAATCAAAAATGCAAAACGTAACATAGATACTAACAAATAGAGAGGGCACGAGTGGCAGCAAGAGACAACATTAGTGACAGTAAAAGTTACTACAGTGAAGTATGAAAATAAACTAGCAAGATAAATCAAATTGAATGCAGAAAATTGTTATAAATATGTTGGGAAAATGACAGTGTTCAGGAGAAATGTGAGTTCCTTGAAAACAAATAATAATCATAAAAAACATGATAATAAGGCAATGCTTGACATACTAATTCATTTTTGCAGCAGGAAAATTCATACATTTGTTATGAGCATCTCAAGGAAAGCCAGGGTGAATTAGCTTGTTGAACCACAACAGTCCTAGATCCTATGGAGTGACAATACTGAATGGAACAACAATGGAGAGAAACAGAAAGCAACTCAGGAAATTGTATGATACACCCACTCCTCATGAATCATGGATTCACTACCCGCAGATCAGCATACTCGTGAATGAGGTCACAGAGTCAATATTTCCCTCCTACTCACTAGCCTGGTCAGATCATATGGCATAAAACTGAATGCTACAAAATCACCAGTAAATATTCTTTCTTCTGACATTATGATGGAGGAAGAATACTGATGAAACACTTGAGATGGGTTGAGTTAAGGGTACTGCCCTGAGAAGCATGGGTACAATGTGGTATTCAACAACCATAACCATCTTGATATGGTAGCAAACTGTGAACAGCACACCACTTCCACTGCAGCATCTCAACCACATTCTCCCCACCCCACCCCAACCATCCCACACACCAATACCCATTGACTTCAGTTATGCTAGGCTCCTTGATGTCATACTCAGTCATTTAGTCAAAATCGGATTAATCTGCCACGCTGGACAGTTTATGCAGAAAATAACTAGCAACATCCAAAATTCATTTTAGGCACTAAAATGAAACCTTGATGTGTGACGGAACCAACAGTATTTCTGCATTCAACACACACTGAGGAAGAGTCACCTGTTTTTTCCTTCACAAGAAGGCATACGGCATGCTTTCATTCATCGGACGGGGTATTGAGTACAAGAGTTGGCAGATCATGTTACAGTTGTATAGGACTTTGGTTCAACCACATTTGGAATACTGCGTACAGTTCTAGTCGCCACATTACCAAAAGGATGTGAATGCTTTGGAGAAGGTGCAGAGGAGGTTCACCAGGATGTTGCCTGGTATGGAGGGTGCTAGCTATGAAGAGAGGTTGAGTAAATTAGGATTATTTACATCAGAAAGACGGAGGTTGAGGGGGGACCTGATTGAGGTCTACAAAATCATGACAGGTATAGACAGGGTGGATAACAAGAAGCTTTTTCCCAGAGTGGGGGACTCAATTCTAGGGATCACGATTTCAAGGTGAGAGGGGAAAAGTTTAAGGGAGATATGCATGAAAAGTTCTTTACGCAGAGGGTGGTGGGTGCCTGGAACACGTTGCCAGCGGAGGTGGTAGAGGCGGGCACGATAGCGTCCTTTAAGATGTATCTAGACAGATACATGAATGGGCAGGGAGCAGAGGGATACAGATCCTTGAAAAATAGGCAACAGGTTTCGATAGAGGATCTGGATCGGCACAGGCTTGGAGGGCCGAAGGGCCTGTTCCTGTGCTGTAATTTTCTTTGTTCTTTGTTCTTAGATACTGCCAGACCTGCTGAGCTTTTCCAGCAACTTTGTTTTTGTTCCTGATTTACAGCATTCACAGTTATTTCAGTTTTTACTTAGTATTTCTGCACTGTTTGATAAGCATTCAAGAACCTGCTCTTCAATAAGATTTGGGAACATTCTTTAAATATATTTTTCATTTAAGATTCTTCATTATCCCTCTACTTTTGATGTCTCTCTAAATTCGGCAGTTAATTACAAGAAGTAACTAGGATCCCCACTAACTGATAATTTCAAGAAATAAAGTAACTCTATCTGGAGTAAGCAGCTACTAAAATGATCAGGACTTAACAATCATAACACCGACAGTACTCAGGCATTAAGCAAAGATGCAAC